TGTAGTGGTTCTTTCAGAAGCTCTTGTAAAGCAGGCCTGGTGGTGATGAAATCTCTGAGTGCTTGCTTGTTCACAAAAAACTTTACTTTTCCTTCACTTATGAAGCTTAGCTTGGCCGGATGTGAAATTCTGGGTTGAAAGTTCTTTTCTTTAAGGATGTTGAATATTGGTCCCCACTCTCTTCTGGCTTGTAGGGTTTCTGCTGAGAGATCTGCTGCAAGTCTGATAGGCTTCCCTTTGTGGGTAACCTGACCTTTCTCTTTGGCTGCCCTTAGTATTTTCTCCTTCATTTCAACCCGGGTAAATCTGACGATTATGTGCCTTGGAGTTGCTCTTCTTGAGGGATATCTTTGTAGTGTTCTCTGTATTACCTGGAGTTGAATATTATCTTGCCTTACTAGGTTGGGAAAATTTTCCTGAATAATACCCTGAAGCGTATTTTCCAGCTTGGATTCATTCTCTTCGTCACATTCAGGTACACCTATCAAGCATAGATTAGGTCTTTTCACATAGTCCCATATTTCTTGGAGACTTTTCTCGTTCCTTTTTATCCTTTTTTCTCTAATCTTGTCTTCTTGTTTTATTTCATTGAGTTGGTCTTCGACCTCTGATATCCTTTCTTCTGCTTGATCAATTCGGCTGTTAAAACTTGTGCATACTTCACGTAGTTCTTGTATTATTGTGTTTTTCAACTCCATCAATTCACTTATATTCCTCTCTAAATTGTGTATTCTTGTTAACATTTTGTCAAACCTTTTTTCAAAGTTCTTAGTTTCTCTGGATTGTGTTAGAACAAGTTCTTTTAATTCACAGAAGTTTCTTATTATCCACATTTTGAAGCCTGCTTCTGTAATTGGAACACACTCGTTCTCCATCAAGCCTTGTTTCGTTGCTGATGAGGAACTGGGATCCCCTGCTGAGGGAGAGGCTTCTGATCTTGGGTATTCTCAGCCTTTTTTGGCTGTTTTCTTCCCTTCGTTGTAGATTTATCCATGTGGTCTTTATAATTACCGTCTTTGTAATTGGGTTTCTGAGTGGACGTCCAACTTATTGATTCTCAGCGCCAAAATCTGAGCAACCCACTGTGCCGACTAAATCAGCGGCGTTAAGATTGATGGTGCTTTTCTGACTCTGCACCAAGAACCAACGCTCCGAGGCACCAGCAAAACCGCCTCGCCGGTCACAAGAGTCGCGCTGGCGACCCGTGGGGCTCCTCCGCTGGGAATCTCCTGGTGTGTGCGCAACAAGAATTCATGTGAAGGTGTGGCGTCCTCTTGTTCTTTGCACTTTCACTGGGAGCTACAATCCCGAGCTGCTAGTGATCAGACATCTTGGATCTCTCTCGTTTTCTTTCTTTTTTTAAGATGGAGTTTCCCTCTTGTCATCCAGATTGGAGTGCAGTGGTACGATTTTGGCTCACGGCAACCTCTGCCTCCCGAGTTCAAGCAATTCTCCTGCCTCAGCCTCCTGAGTAGCTGGGATTACAGGCACTGGCCACCACACCCAGCTAATTTGTGTGTGTGTGTGTGTATATATATATATTTGTTTTTGTAAAGACAGGGTTTCACCATATTATCTAGGCCGGCCACCACACCCAGCTAATTTTTTTGTATATATACATATATATATTTGTTTTTGTAAAGACAGGGTTTCACCATATTATCTAGGCTGATCTCAAACTCCTAACCTCACAGGTGATCCACCTGCCTCAGCCTCCCAAAGTGCTGGGATTACAGGTATGAGCCACTGCGCCAGGCCTCTTATGGCATTTCTGATAATTATTTGTTATATTCTCCTATTAGAGACCAACTCAGTAAAGGCAGGCCTGTGCCCAGCACAGCAGCTTATTAGTGGGTAAAATAGGCCTGTAAGTGTCGCTATATCCCCTTTGGAAGACTGAGTCAGGCCCAACTAGGGCCTGACTCAGTACTTCATCACATTCCTGATCACAAAAGCCCAATACTCAAAACACTGGCAAGAAACAAAACGGGGGTACAGATGCAAGAGTGTATTGCCTATTACACAGCAAAGCTTACCAGAAATTCTCTAAATAGAAATCTTTTTTTTTTTTTTTGAGGCAGAGTTTCACTCTTGTTATCCAGGCTGGAGTGCAATGGCACGATCTCGGCTCACCGCAACCTCCGCCTCTTGGGTTCAGGCAATTCTCCTGCCTCAGCCTCCTGAGTAGCTGGGATTACAGGCATGTGCCATCATGCCCAGCTAATTTTTTTGTATTTTTAGTAGAGATGGGGTTTCACCATGTTGACCAGGATGGTCTCGATCTCTTGACCTCGTGATCCACGCGCCTCGGCCTCCCAAAGTGCTGGGATTACAGGCTTGAGCCACCGCGCCCGGCCTAAATAGAAATCTTATTATTTCTCGCAAGTCTCCTTCTCCAAGGCTGTGCAGCCTGGGATTCTTCCCCACTCTCCTCCCCTATACAGACTCTGAAGCCCCTCTTGATTACCCTGAGCAGCTGAACTCTCTTTCTCAGCTTGTACAGGTCAGAGATGGGACTCCGTTCCTTAAGCAAGCTGCTTGGAGACCTCGGTCTGTCCTGCAGCCATCCCCATGTTAGAGACACATCTATGTCTCTAACACATATTAAATGCCTCTACCAGTATTTCTCAAAGCATGGTCCATAGACCACCTGCATCAGAATCACCTGGTGGCTTTAACGCGCAGATTTCTGGGCCTCACACCTGCTAAATCAGAATCTCTGGGGTGGGGAGGTGCCCATCAGTGGTTTGAAAATCAGTGGCCATCGACTGTGCCAAGCCTGGTCTATATACATCGCTTTCCGGGAACATTCTGTGGCCTTCAGTGTATCCAGAAAAAGCTGCATCTCCAGGCGTCTGGGCCTGCATCAAGGCCTACCACACAAGAGGTGACTTTGATTTTAGAAGAGTCCTCGTCCCTACTGTTCCACTGTCCTCTCCTTTTGCTTGTGTTTACTCAGGCCTGCACCATTTCCCTCCTTCTCCTCCTAGCATTCAGCCTTCCTTCCCACCAGTTCAAGTCCCACCCACACTACTTGGAGCCCCCAATTAGTACTGTCCCTGAAGCACACACTTTTGTTTTATTCCCTTAGAGCAGCCAGCCTCCCTGGTTCAAGGAATTCTCCCTGCCTCAGCCTCCTGAGTAGCTGGGATTACAGGTGCCCGCCACCACACCTGGCTATGTTTTTTTTTTTTTCCTTTTTTTTTTTGAGACGGAGTTTCGCTCTTGTTACCCAGGCTGGAGTGCAATGGCGCGATCTCGGCTCACCACAACCTCCGCCTCCTGGGTTCAGGCAATTCTCCTGCCTCAGCCTCCTGAGTAGCTTGGATTACAGGCATGTGCCACCATGCCCAGCTACTTTTTTGTATTTTTAGTAGAGATGGGGTTTCACCATATTGACCAGGATGGTCTCGATCTCTTGACCTCGTGATCCACCCGCCTCGGCCTCCCAAAGTGCTGGGATTACAGGCTTGAGCCACCGCGCCCAGCCTGTTTTTTTCTTTTCTCTTTTTTTGAAACAGGGTCTTGCTCTGTCACTCAGGCCAGAGTGCAGTGGCATGATCTCAACCCACTGCAACCTCTGCCTCCTGGGCTCAAGCAATCCACCTGCTTCATCCTCCCAGGTAGTTGGGACTACAGACACACACCTCCATGCCTGGATAATTTATGTATTATTATTATTACTTCTTTTTGTAGAGACTGGGTTTTACCATTGTTGCCAGGTTGGTCTTGAACCCCTGGGGTCAAGCGATCCTTCTGCCTTGGCTTCCTAAAGTGCTGGGGTTACAGGCGTAAGCCACCGTGTCTGGCTCACCTTGTTTTTCCATCCAACCTTTGGTATTTAAAAAATAGCTTTTGAAGACAACAGATCTAATATGAGAAATTGAATCATCATTGAAAGATGGTGCTAGTACATTAAAAATGTACCATTTCTCCTCCCCACCCACAGATGCAAACAGACTCAGGTAATAGACAGAAAAGGTAAACAGAAATCTGAGAGCAAGAGCCACACCAAAGAGAGCCATACCTCTGGTGTGTTCTGTCCTCTGGCCTCAGATCTTACTGCTTTGGTAACCGGAAAACATGTAATTGTTGGTATTTTATAAAAGACAGTGAGGGAAGGCTGGGAGCAGTGGCTCATGCCTGTAATCCCAGAATTTTGGGAGGCTGAGGTGGGTGGATCACCTGAGGTCAGGAGTTCAAGACCAGCCTGGCTAACATGGTGAAACCCCGTCTCTATTAAAATTGCAAAAAAATTAGCCAGGTGTGGTGGTGGGCTACTTGGGAGGCTGAGGCAGGAGAATTGCTTGAACCCAGGAGGCAGAGGTTGCAGTGAGCCAAGATTGCGCCACTGCACTCCAGCCTGGGCAACAAGAGTGAGACTCTGTCTCAAAACAAAACAACAGCAAAAAAAAAAAAAAAAAAGACAGTGAAGGCTACTGGTAGCTCAGAGGTAAGAACACTTTTTGGTGTTCTCTCTTATGTCAGACCTGAAAACACTGCCAGTTGTAATCCCTCCTCTCCCACACTGGTTTCCAAAAATGACGGCAGTCTTAAAAGGCCTCCCAGCCTTCTCCCAGCCCAGAGGCCTTCCCATTGTTCTCCAGTTAGGTTCATGGAGATCTCTTCATTTTGTAGCTTCTAGTCTCATTTAGGAGTACAAGAGTCCCTACTCTACCAGCTTAGAACTGCCCTTTCTGGAAACTTCTTGAACAAATGAATACTGTAAACAAATAGAAAAAGTTAACAACAATAAACAAACAAAGGGTGCATGTATGTTGTGGGAAAGAATCATTAAAAATTGTGTCTAAAAGACAAATGTTAAGGTCATGGGTTTGGTTCAAGTTTGTTGCACAATTTTGGAAAGTAGTAACTGTGGCACTCAGGAACAAGATCTTTCAGTTCCGTTCCTGGAGTAAAATACGGTTGGGATCTTATATTTGGTTTCTTCCCATCATGCAGCCAGGTTCACTTTCCAGAAAAAGGAGAGATAAAAGCAGTGCCATGCTAAAGACTGTAGGAATATTTTAATTCGTATTTTTAATTACATTATGTAATAATAATATCACAGTCTATTTTACAAATTAAATGTATGAGAATGTATGAAATAGAAATGGTAGGAAAAAAAACTAAACGTGGGTCAGGAACATGGAATTTTTCCAAAAACCAGGGGCCAAAGGTAGATGTGTAGCCTGTAGGGCCCAAGGAGGAGTCAGGAAGGGTGACAGGTACAGTTATTGGTCTGTGGTATGTATTTGTTCCCTGTGTGTACACTGGGAAGGACTTGAGACCTGTCCCCTTCCCTGGTCTGGGGTTGGGAGTTTAGTCTGGTCAGCTGGAAGGTGGCGGCTTGGGAAAAGGAGCCATCTGGTTACCTACACAGAGCTGGTCCCCTGGTGGCTGCAGGTAGGTTCTGCTGTTGAGGGAATTAGGGGTGGAACTGTCAAAAACCAAACGTGTGGAGGGAAAAAGTAAACAGTTTCCTCCTCCCTCCAAAAAACCCAAATTCTTGAAATGCATACATATTCTTCTCTCAAACATAGAAAAGTCTCACTCTGGATGTGCTTACAAGAAGATCGTCGTCAAAAAACTTTGTTTCTATGATAACGTTCCCACTGTAAGTAAGACGAGAAACAGAGGGCAAAAGAAAGAGAGTGATCATGTTAGGCACAGGATTTCATTTCCACAAAGTGGTTTCTATCTGGATTCCTAGGCCAATGGACATGCACCCACCCAGAGCCTTAGCTTAGGGACATTAAAATCCTTGTCTATATGGGGCTACAAGTCTAATGTGACATTTAACTTATGTTGTTAGATTTATCTCTGTCAAGCTCACAAATCAGAAGTGAGAGCATTTCTCCACTCCTTGATACACTCTAAAGCCCTTAGTAGAGTGCTCTGCACACAGGGTGCTTATAGATCCGACTGACTTTCTGATACCGCATTCATGGACACCTCTGGCTGGTTTACACATAGAAGCCTGCAGACCTCAGTGGCAGTATCCTTCCCTACAGTACTCACTATAGTGGACTTTGGTCTGGCCTGTGTCTATTTTCCTGCCTTTGGATAACAGCACCTTGCTCTTCATTTGGGAACTACCCTTCCTCCAGTCCATATGCCAAGTGAGTGGCCCCTCACTCACCTGGCAAAAGGGTGAACAGAGGATGTAACTTAGCCCAATCAGACTCTTTCGCTTGAGCAAGATCCTTCCTGTAGTTGCTTCTTGAGGAAGCCATCCAGGAATTCCTGTCCCCTGCATCTTCCAAGCCGCCCCAGGTCTCCCCCTTAGTCTTTCAACTCTTGTATTAGCCAGAGCCTGTTTCTATGATTTACAACTAAAGAACACTAAATGATGCACCTGTATTGTGAGGGCAGAATTTTATTTTTTTGGGTGGATATCTCAGTGCTCCTATTTGTAAAATGGGATAGACTATAACCTTACCAAATTACACTTGAACTGAGTTTAGGGCAACTGTTTTTGGGGGTTCTAAAAAGTTAAGTATAGCTAGTCCCCTACTTACACGAATCAGCTTATTATTTTTCAACTTTATAATGGATTTATGAGGATGCTAAATGCATTTTTGACTTATGATATTTTCATCTTATGATAGATAGGTTTATCAGGATGTAAACCCACTATAAGTTGAGGAGTACCTGAACTATTTTGGGGGTGCTCTAAAAAGCATGACATGACTTAACCTAAAAATGTTATCACAGACTTAATGGTTTTAGTACCTGAAAGAAATCAGGCCTGGACCCAGCCTGACCAATACGGAGAAACCTCATCTCTACCAAAAAAAACACAAAAATTTGCCGGGCATTGTGTCAGGCACCTATAATCCCAGCTACTCAGGAAGCTGAGGCAGGAGAATTGATTGACCTCGGGAGGCGGAGGTTGCAGTGAGCCAAGATCGTGCCCCTGCACTCCAGTTTGGGTGACAGAGCAAGACTGTCTCAAAAAAAAAAAAAAAAAAAAAAAAAAAAAAAAAAAAAAAATCAGGCCTGCTGAAGAAGTAGTCAAATGAAGTTTAATAAAATCTAAAAAACCCTGCTTTCATAAACTACTGTACTTTCCCAGGGTAATTAATTACCAGCAGATACATTTCTGCTGGTAATTAATTATATTAAACAGGTAAATAAGGTACTCAAAATCTGACTGGCTGATAGGATATAAAAGTAGTGACCATTGTAATTAAAAATCTACTTTTAAAACCATTAAAACTTTTAAAAAATTCTATTAACTTTTTTTTTTTTTTGAGACAGAGTCTTGCTTTGTCACCCAGGCTGGAGTGCCGTGGCGCAATCTTGGCTCACTGCAACCTCTGCCTCCCAGGTTCAAGCGATTCTCCTGCCTTAGCCTCCCGAGTAGCTAGGACTACAAGCATGTGCCACCACACGAGGCTAATTTTTTGTATTTTTAGTAGAAACAGGGTTTTGCCGTGTTAGCCAGGATAGTCTCAATCTCCTGACTTCATGATCCACCCGCCTCAGCTCTCAAAGTGCTGGAATAACAGGCGTGATTCATAGTGCCCTGCTTCTATTACAAAATTTAGATGTGGTCTTGCTATGTTGCTCAAGCTAATCTCAAACTCTTGGACTCAAGCAATCCTCCTGCCTCAGCTTCCCAAGTAGCTAGGATTATAGGCAAGTGTCAACACATCTGGCTATTAAAAAAACTATTAAAAACTTAAAAAGGGGGCCGGGCGCGGTGGCTCAAGCCTGTAATCCCAGCACTTTGGGAGGCCGAGGCGGGCGGATCACGAGGTCAAGAGATCGAGACCATCCTGGTCAACATGGTGAAACCCCGTCTCTACTAAAAATACAAAAAATTAGCTGGGCATGGTGGCGTGTGCCTGTAATCCCAGCTACTCAGGAGGCTGAGGCAGGAGAATTGCCTGAACCCAGGAGGCGGAGGTTGCGGTGAGCCGAGATCGCGCCATTGCACTCCAGCCTGGGTAACAAGAGCGAAACTCCGTCTCCAAAAAAAAAAAAAAAAAAAAAAACTATTAAAAACTTAAAAAGGGGGCCGGGTGCGGTGGCTCAAGCCTGTAATCCCAGCACTTTGGGAGGCTGAGGCGGGTGGATCACAAGGTCAAGAGATCGAGACCATCCTGGTCAACATGGTGAAACCCCGTCTCTACTAAAAATACAAAAAACATTAGCTGGGCATGGTGGCGCGTGCCTGTAATCCCAGCTACTCAGGAGGCTGAGGCAGGAGAATTGCCTGAACCCAGGAGGCGGAGGTTGTGGTGAGCCGAGATCGCGCCATTGCACTCCAGCCTGGGTAACAAGAGTGAAACTCCATCTCAAAAAAAAAACAACTTAAAAAGGGGCTGGGTGCAGTGGCTCACTCCTGTAATCAATCCCAGCACCTTGGGAGGCCAAGGCAGGTAGATCACCTGAGGTCAGGAGTTCAAGACCAGCCTGGCCAACATGGCGAAACCCCATCTCTGCTAAAAAATACAAAAATTAGTTGGGTGTGACGGTAGGTGCCTGTAATCCCAGCAACTCAGGAGGTTGAGGCAGGAGATTCATTTGAACCCAGGAGGCAGAGGTTGCAGTGAGCCGAGATTCAGCCTGGCCAACAGAGATTCCATCTCAAAAAAAAAAAAGAAAAAAAACCCCCAAAAAGTAAAAAGTAGAGACAGGCATGGTGGCACATGCCTGTAGTCCTACCTACTTAGGAGGCTGAGGCAGGAAGATCACTTGAGCCCAGGAGTTGGAGTCCAGCCTGGGCAACATGGCAAGACCCTGTTTCTAAAATAAATAAATAAGTAAACAAAATCCAAAAAACAAAAAACCTAAAAGTAAATAACCTCAATTTAACAGATTCAATATGGCTTTCATAAAGGACCTGTTGAAAGAGATGATCCAATATTACACAATTTATCTGTGGGACTTTTTTTTTTTTTTTTTTTGAGATGGAGTTTTTTGCTCTTGTTACCCAGGCTGGAGTGCAATGGCGTGATCTCGGCTCACCGCAACCTCTGCCTCCTGGGTTCAGGCAATTCTCCTGCCTCAGCCTCCTGAGTAGCTGGGATTACAGGCACGCGCCACCATGCCCAGCTAATTTTTTGTATTTTTAGTAGAGACGGGGTTTCACCATGTTGACCAGGATGGTCTCGATCTTTTGACCTTGTGATCCACCCGCCTTGGCCTCCCAAAGTGCTGGGATTACAGGCTTGAGCCACCGTGCCCGGCCTTTTTTTTTTTTTTTTTAAACAGAGTCTCACTCTGTTACCCAGGCTGGAATACAGTGGGGCAATCTTGACTCACTGCAACTTCCACTTCTCGGGTTCAAGAAATTCTCCTGCCTCAGCCTCCTGAGTAGCTGGGATTACAGGCATGTGCCACCATGCCAAGAGTTAACTTGGGACTAACTCTTTAGAAAGTACTATTACTGTAACATTTGAGAGACTAACATCCTTCCCACAGAAAATGGGAGGTGAGAAGTTATTGACAGTATTTTTGGACAAAGGACAAACGAATTATTCTTTGAAGAGGAGGTAAAGCTATAAATATGGTGAGCTATTTGCCAAAAAACTGTAACCAAGTATTATACTCAAAAGCTTATTATTATTATTTTTTTTTTTTTGAGATGGAGTCTCGCTCAGTTGCTAGGCTGGAGTACAGTGATGCAATCTTGGCTCACTGCAACCTCTGCCTCCCGGGTTCAAGCAATTCTCCTGCCTCAGCCTCCCAAGTAGCTGGGACTACAGGTGCATGCCACCATGCCCAGCTAATTTTTATATTTTTAGTAGAGATGGGGTTTCACCATGTTGGCCAGGATGGTCTTGATCTCTTGACCGTGTGATCCACCCGCCTCAGCCTCCCAAAGTGCTGGGGAAAACAGAATTATTAATAGGTCTTTGCCAGATTCTGTTAAAGGTGATCTAAACAAAATACAGAGGTACCAGAGTATGATAGTCAGGAATGAGAGCAAATTAACATAGATTTGGTATATATTAAAGGCAGTCTCCTTTCATGTCATCTCATTTTATCTTCATTACATCTCTGTAAGACAGAATTATTAATTCTGTGTCTAGAGATTAAAGACTAAGGCTCAGAGAAATAAAAGTATATTAGTGCCCAAGATGACACAGGTAGTCACGGTGAATCAAGAATTTAAATCTGGTCTAAAGATTTTTTTTTATTCTTTCTACTTTATCACACTGTCTTTTTCATATGAAAAAGGTCAGGAACTTGGAAACCTAGATACCCTTGGATGCTCCTTTACTATATTTCTCAGCTGAACTCTCTGCCCACTGAATGGCACCAGGAGTCCCACTTGCCTGGAATGCCTGTTTCTAGACACACTTCATAATTTCCTGAGACCTGCTCACTCACGTTAAGACGCTTGCTGGCATCATCTGGGACTCAGGTGCTGCCTCTATCAAGGACTGCCAGGTATTTGTGGAGTTAGGGATCACAAAGCCAAACTCGAAGAACCATTCTGAAGGAAGAAGGAAAAGCCTGGGTGAGCAGGTGCCCCGGTATAAAGTTTAAGGGCTCTTTGTTTCCCTCCTCTACAGTGAGCCTCTTTCTACCCTGAAAACCACCAAAGGAAGCTATCAGCAACCTCCCAGACCAGAGGCATAAAGAAAGACAGGGAAGCCTCCTTTAGGTTGTCCTCTGAACCACACCAAAGGCTTGCTTCTCCTGATTTGAGGTCTAAAGGACTAGGACCAGCAAGCAGGATATAATATAAGCAGCATTTTCTTAGAGGTAGGCTAGATGTGAACTATACATAGATACATAGCTAAATTCACCTGGAATTAGCTCAAAGGGGCATATGTGCCCTCTTACACTGCTTGGTGAGAATTCAATGCAGAGTGGCCTTGCCAGTCAAATCTGTATGATACTGTATGTAGAGCACTGTACTAGGCCCTGCTCACAGCAGCTTCCTCCATGACCATATCACAATACAACGTCAGTGCCTAAACCAGGCACCACCCATGCTCCCAGTGTCAGAGACCTCAAAGCCCCTTATATTGGCCAGCTTTGTTTTGGTTTGTTTTCACTGGGGATCCCCAGTCTTGCAGGGCGTAGGAACCCTACCACAAACTGAGTTGTAAAAGGAGTTATCAAAGCACTGCTTTAGTTCACTGGTGTGCCTTTTGTCCTGGTCGCCCTAAGCCCTGATTTCAGGCATGTAGGCAGCAGAATACCTTCTAGGCATTGCCCTTTGAAGTAAACTTTTTGTTCCAGGCGGAATTTTTCCATTTGTTCTGTTGAAGAAAAATTCAGTTCTCGAGACACTGCCTTGCACTTGAGGATTTTCTTGGGAACACGGGCTGATAAGAGAAAAACAAATGTTGAAGCCACTCTAAATGAAAACCACATGACTATGATGCTTCAGATTTCTGGGAGTTTCTTACAGCTGATTTAGACAACACTTTATTTATTACATTTTAGATAATGCCTTGGTAAGTGTATTATACTTTGTGTGGCTGAAGGCAGAGTTCTCCAATTGGTCACCTGTATCTGAAAGATACTAGATCTTCACAGAACACCAGATTTTGTTCATTTAAGGGCCTCATCTAGCTACTCTCATCAGGAAAGGGGCTGCATAGGTATCTTCTCTCTACTCTCTTCTGGTGATTTAAACCCTATCTTTTTTTTTTTTTTTTTTTTTTGAGACGGAGTTTCGCTCTTGTTACCCAGGCTGGAGTGCAATGGCACGATCTCGGCTCACCGCAACCTCCGCCTCCTGGGTTCAGGCAATTCTCCTGCCTCAGCCTCCTGAGTAGCTGGGATTACAGGCACGCACCACCATGCCCAGCTAATTTTTTGTATTTTTAGTAGAGACGGGGTTTCACCATGTTGACCAGGATGGTCTCGATCTCTCGACCTTGTGATCCACCCGCCTCGGCCTCCCAAAGTGCTGGGATTACAAGCTTGAGCCACCGCGCCCGGCCTAAACCCTATCTTTTACTTGAGGGAGATAAAAATGAAAAATTTTCTTTTGGAGAAAAAAGTTGAGATCTTAGTTTATATCTTTGGATATGTTCTAATGGTAAAAATTTCAGCACAAAATAAGTTTTGGGAAGTGGGAGAAAGAAACATTAAGTAACTGGGATGGGCGTGGTGGGTCACGCCTGTAATTCCAGCACTTTGGGAGGCTGAGGCGGGCAGATCACTTGAGGTCAGGAGTTCAAGACAAGGATGGCCAACATGGTGAAACCCCGTCTCTACTAAAAATACAAAAATTAGCTGGGCATGGTGGCGTGCACCTGTAATCCCAGCTACTTGGGAAGCTGAAGCAGGAGAATCGCTTGAACTTGGGAAGCAGAGGTTGCAGTGAGCCAAGATCGCGTGACTGCACTCTAGCCTAGGTGATAGAGTGAGACTGTGTCTCAAAAAAAAAAAAAAAGAAAGTAACTGAAACTGTCAACAACACATGGATTAACATGCTGTGTCTTGAGGGGCTCACCAGCCTATTAGGTATGTGTTAACTTAGCTCTCTGATGCCCAGGCCCTTGTCTGGCATTGGTGACAGCCCCGTATAGGCAAAGGGTTGGAAAGTACCTTCATGCTCCACACCAGGAACAGACAGGTCTTCTGTTCCTTGCCAGAGTATCTTCCCTGTTTCAGCATCCCGAAGGTTCATCCAATTTCTGATCAAATATGACTAAGGAAAAATAAGGCACTGAAAGTGACTCCCACTTTGTTCTCTAGGTGTCTCATGGTTGCTCCCACCAATTCTTGTTTACTTTTTAAAAAGTCTGTCAAAACTGCTCATTGCCATGGAAGCAGATCAGAATGTGTAGGAGAGTCAAAAAGACATCTAAAGGAAGAAGCAGAGACCTAGAGAAGATATTTTTATCTATAAGAATCCTAAGACTGCACACACCTGGAAATTGCAAGAAAGTGACAGAAAATGAACAGTGCAAAATTTAAAACTGAATTAAAAATGAACAGTGCAAAATTTAAAATTTACCAACAGGATCTGACCAACCAAGATAAAACGCCTAAAGAAACAGTATCAGATGTATCCCAAGGAAACAACTCATGAAGATCACTCCATAGTGAAGGCCACAGTCCATAAACTTCACCCACAAGCACAACTCTCAACTCGCTTTTTAGAACCCCCTTTTATTTATTTTTTTGAGACAGAGTCTCACTCTGTCACACAGGTTGGAGTGCAGTGGTGCAATCTTGGCTCACTAGAATCTTTGCCTCTTGAGTTCAAGCAATTCTTGTGTCTCAGCCTCCCAAGTAGCTGGAATTACAGGAGCATGCCATCATGCCCAGCTACTTTTCGTATTTTTAATAGAGATGAGGTTTCACCATGTTGGCCAGGCTGGTCTCGAACTCCTGACCTCATGTGATCTATTTGCCTCAGCCTCCGAGTGCCCTGTTTCTAAATAGGAGAAGATAGCCAAGTATCGCCAGAAATTCAAGAAAGCATTTATTATGAAAGAAAAAAAGAGGCTTACAGATAAAGACATAACGTTGTAAAAAGGAGCATTAAAAGAAAAGAGAGATGACATAACCTCTACAGACACTAAAAATTGATACAATAAAATTGTGTATATCTTAGGTGGATTTCTCTGGCTTGAGGTTGCAACTTATGAAGCAGGTCAACTGATATTCTCTGTCAGAAAATGCCTTCTAACCTAAGTATTTATATTTTCTAGTTTCTGTATTGTTTGATACATTAAATGAGTCAATAATACCAATTTAAAAACGAACAGAACTCTAGAAACACACGTATTTTGATAGCAGGACCAAACAACTCAAGACAAAGACATAACTGAAGAATCTTTTCAGAACAAAAAAGGCAAAGATAGAAGATAGGAGAGCAGGCTGAGCATGGTGGCTCATGTCTGTAATTCCAGTACTTGGGAGGCTAAGGCGGGTGGATTCCTTGAGCTTGGGAGTTTGAGATTAGCTGAACCATGGTGAAATCTCATCTCTACAAAAATACAAAATCAACCAGTCATGGTGGTGCATGCCTATGGTCCCAGCTACTCTGGAGGCTGAGGTGAGAGGATTGCTCGAGCCCACAAAAATCAATGCTGCAGTGAGCCGAGATGATGTCACTGCACTCCAGCCTGGGCAACAGAGGGACACTCTGTCTGAAAAAATAAGGGAGAGTAAAGGCACAAAAACTGGAGAAAAGTCCAAGAGTTCCAATGTCTAACTAACAGAAGTTCTAGAAAGACAGAACAGAGAAAACTGAGGGGAGGGTGGCATCAATAAATTAATTCAGGAAAATTTCCTAGATTGAAAGTGTCTAGTCCTCCACTTCCTTCCCTTTAAGAAAAAAAAGAAAAGAAAAGAAAAGAAAGTGTCTAGCAAATACCCAAGTCACATCATAGTGGATTTACAGAACATTAAAGACAAAGAAAAGCAAAAGCTGGCTGGGCGCGGTGGCTCACACCTATAATCCCAGCACTTTGGGAGGCCGAGGTGGGTGGATCATCTGAGGTCAGGAGCTTGAGACCAGCCTGGCCAACATGGAGAAATCTTGCCTTTACCAAACACACACACACAAAATTAGCTGGGTATGGTGGCAGGCACCTGTAATCCCAGCTACTCGGGAGGCTGAGGCAGGAGAGTTGCTTGAACCCAGGAGGTGGAAGTTGCAGTGAGCCAAGATTGTGCCATTGCACTCCAGCCTGGGCAACAAACAAGAGTGAAACTCCATCTCAAAAAGAAAGAAAAAAAAAAAAAAAAAAAAAAAAAAAAAGAAAGCTTCCAGAGGGAAAACAAGTCATTATACAAAGGGTCAAATCATAATGGGAAAAAAAAAATCAGAATGAATCAGACTTTTCAGTAGGAACCCTGAAAGATAGGAGACAATTGAGCAGGGCCTTTAAAATTCTCAGGGAGGCAGATGCAGTGGCTCACGCCTGTAAAGCACTCTGGGAGGCCAAGGCATGTGGAACACGAGCTCAGGAGATCGAGACCATCCTGGCTAACACAGTGAAACCCTGTCTCTATTAAAAATCCAAAAACATTTAGCCGGGTGTGGTGGCATATGCCTGTAGTGTCAACTACTCGGGAGGCTAAGGCAGTAGAATCTCTTAAACCTGGGAGGTGAAGGTTGGAGTGAGCCAAAATTGCACCACTGCACTCCATCCTGGGAGACAGAGCAAGACTCCAGCTCAAAAACAAAAAACAAAAAATCCCAGAAAAACAATTCCTAAAACAAACTAAAAAATATTTACTTTCTCAAGAAACTAAGAATAGCATGGCTTCACCAAAATGACAGAGAAAACCAAGAAAGGGGATGACATGGGATGTAGGAAGCAACAAACAGCTGAAGGGAGTCCCCTGAGTGACAAGGAAGGAAGATCCCAAGATAGTAGCTCTTTAGCAGGTCTGCAGAGTGACTAGTTCAGGGTCCAGGCTAGAGCAGGTCAGAAAGCTCAGGAAGAGATTTTTCTTTCTTTCTTTTTTGAGACAGAGTTTCATTCTTATTGCCCAGGCTGGAGTGCAATGGCACGGTCTCAGCTCACTGCAACCTCCACCTCTGGGTTCAAGTGATTCTCCTGCCTCAGTCTCCCAAGTAGCTGGGATTACACGTGCTCACCACCATGCCTGGCTAATTTTTTTATATTTTTAGTAGAGACAGGATTTCACCATGTTGGCCAGGCTAGTCTCGAACTTCTGACCTCAGGTGATCCACCTGCCTTGGCCTCCCAAAGTGCTGGGATTAAAGGCATGAGCCACCGTGCCCAGCTGAGATTTTCTTTTAAAAAGATGAAATTCATAGAATACCTATTGTGTTTATATGGAAAGGAGATTTATACAATTAGGGGGAGATTTTGGCGTCAAATTGATGAGAAGCACAGAAAGCCTAAGCAAATGACAAAAATCCAATTACTGATATCAAGGAAAAATCAAAAGTAGTACTGGAAGAAAAAAGTAGTCATAGTATAACACATGGCTTCATTGCAAGTAGTGCTGATGCAGTCATAACAATGAGAGTACATGCTAAGGCCCAGTATAATTACCTGGGAGGATGAGGGAACAAGAGTATGTATGGATAGTCAGACACGAAATGTTGAGAAACAACAAAACTGTCATTTTCCATAGTGGAAAATGGATAAATAATGCTAAAATGAAATCATTAAGACATAGCCACAATTTGCTTTTTGGAAATATCAAGATAAATACCAAATAAGCTAAAAAGAATTGAAAAGTTTTTTCTGGTGAGTAGAAAATAGGGGTGGTACAGGGAGTGGTGCTCTTCATTAGAAACTAGGTAGACTGTGATTCTTTAAATGATGAACATATACAACTTAATAAAAATAAAGACTAAATTTTAGAAGAGGGTCCTGAGGCTTTTTGTTTTGTTTTAAAGAAATGGACAAACCATTAAAGGAAAAGAAAATATTATGCAAGCACAGAGGCTAAGTCTGCAAAAGATGGTTAATATTTGGAAAGAGACTGAGCTTCAGATAAATATATATAACATAGATATACTTTATGTGTGTCTTTTTTTCTTTTCTTTTCTTTTCTTTTTTGAGATGTGGTCTCACTCTGTGGCCTTGGCTGGAGCGCAGTGGTGCGATCTTGGTTCACTGCAACCTCCACCGCCCAGGTACAAAGGATTCTCTTGCCTCAGCCTCCCAAGTAGCTGGGATTACAGGTGCCTGCCACTACACCCAGCTAATTTTTTGTATTTTTAGTAGAGACGGTGTTTCACCATGTTGGCCAGGCTGGTCTCGAACTCCTAACCTTGTGATTCACCTGCCTCAGCCTCCCAAAGTGCTAGGGTTATAGGCATGAGCCACCACACCTGGCCACACTTTTTTTTCCTTCTGTTTGTTACCTTGTAATCAAACTCTCTTCTCAAAGCACCTTATATCCTTGCTTCCTTGTGGAAGGCAGTGACCGCTCTGTACTACAGCAGCTAGAAAGGCCAGATCCTTTTTTCCCAGGCCTGGTATAATTGGGGTGAGCACAAGAAGGCCTAGCCTTGGACATTTGCTGCCCAGTTCTGGGGTCCTGAAGCTATAATTACACAAGGTCTTGTGGAGGAGTTGGCAGTTCTTCAGGGTAGGGGTAGCAGGAGTATGCCAACCTGCCCTTTCCTACTGTGTGGTCTTTGCTGCTGCAGGCCCTGTCCTTCAAATTGCAGGCAGTTCTGAAAACCTGATATCCCTTCCCATTGTTTGAATAGCTTGCAGTGGAGAACCCTAAACAATACAGCTGACTGGAATCATCATGTGTGCAATGGCACTACATTTTACCCTCTGGTTTTGTTGCTATACAAGAAAAGTCCCAAAAGATAACCAAGTATTGTTCAGCAGAGTGCCTGCAACATGATGAGGAGTCAAGCCGTCTGTGCACTCACCCTGCTTGTGGGCATCCCTAAAGGAATGTACCTTCACTTTCAGGCCACAATGGTTGTGTTACTCCCCTCTCAGGGTGTGCAATTCCTAAAAAGCTCTTCCACGCTCATTACATCTTCAGACAGTGCTGCTCCTCTCCACCCATGTGATCTGCCTTCCTCTGGTTCATATTTTCAAATTCCACTATTTAAAAAAATAAACAATTAAATTCAAAAGCACATTCATATACTTGCTTAGGTCATGTCTCACAATTATAATTACTACAAACATGCTCACCCATCCCAGGGTCTCTGTAAATTAAGAGAAAG